CAAATATTAGGTCATCCCATTCAAAAGTGCCGTCGGTTTTATTCGAATAAAACAAAGAGGAGAATAGGTAAAAAGTAATATTTTGGCTTCAAGTTAAGTAAATCCTCCTTCATCAATGACCCGCTCCCAGTGCCCCGAAAGCCTTTGGACCTCTGGTACCTTCGATTTTTCAACAAGTGCGAGTAAATTGCTGTTGATGCCAATTTCGGCGAATGACAAAACATTGTAGCGTTTGCCGTCGGAGAGTACTCTCGACTGACGAGAACAATTGGAATCGCTCGGCTTTATGTGGGCGAATGGGGTCTCAGTATTTTGTCCGAGCACTGCCCTCAGTTACTCTGGGTCTAGCACTATAGACGAGCAACGGTGGCCCTCTTGTAGTTGTGTGCGTAACCATCATTGATCGATCTGACTTGCCGAGGCATTAGGGCAATATGCGCCAACTACTAAGATTTTATTCTCTGATATTAGAGTCCATGGAACTAACAGATCTGGGAGTCGCTTCGTCATGATGATAATCTACTTGCGCCACGTAACCCTTCATGTTAGAACTCGTTCGGGGTTCTATATGCATTCAACAAAATTTATGTTCCTGCAGTCCCTTCACATTTTTTTTGCAGTTATTTTCTGTTTTCATATTTTAGCTCACATTCATATTTAGATTATGTGGACGGTGACGATTGGTGTACTCATCTCAGCATTGTTCTGCGCTTCGCACTCCGAAAACCGAAGAAACCAAAGACTACGAAAAAAGTGCACGTGCTAAAGGGACACTTGCTGAATTAAGCCTAGGCAGAAATATGCAATCAGAATGCTCTCCCCGAAATCAAACTCCCTGTAAGTTACTATAAAATCCCATTGAATGGCGCTGTTTCTCTGACTCATAATACCAAGAATCTGATAAATGCTTGCGTTTCCAGCCTGACAATGCTGTGGTCTACTCCTTTGATAAGACCGTGAGCAATAGAAAGACATCAGAAGGCGGAATGAAGGCACATGTAGTCATTTATATTCCAATGGTTGAGGTATATAGTTTCTACCAGGAAATTTCTCGTACACTGATGTTCTTGATACTTCTTACTTACTTTGATACTTTGATGGTCCTTCAACTGGCTTGATCTTCAGTGGGGACCACAGCTCTTCCATAACGCACGATTTCTGGCGACTTGCATCCAATGTGGTGGACCGCGTTCTCTGAAATATTTCAAAAACGAGTCGGACCAACGCGTTGGTGGTCGTCCCAGAGGCCGTTTTGCGTTCCTTGGGAGCCATTCTGTGATGCGGAGACTCCATCTGTCATCATTGCGGCGGAGCAAGTGACCAGCCCAGCGGTGTTTGCACTGCGCCATATACTGCAGCGGATCTTTCAATCTCGACCGCTCCCTTAGGTCTGTACTTCGTAGACCTTGTTGCCATTGCTGGCGGCGGCCGACCTTCAAAAGACATCTCTCCAGTGCACGATGCGTAGTTTGCATTGCCTTGGTGATTGTCCTGTTTTCAGGCCAGGTTTCGGTCGCGTAACCATCGCTGGTAGCACCGTGGGTGAAATATCGGCGCTGCTTAGGTTAGGGTCCTTAATTTGCTCCGTTACTTCACGAATCGTTCCAAAAGCTGCCCATGCTGCACGCCTCCTGCGGCTTATTTCAGCAGAGATGTTGTTCAGCATGTTTAGCTCTCTTCCCAGATACACGTAGGAATCCACTCTTTCGAGAGCAACTCCTGCCAATTTCACGGTTCCCGCATCACACCAGTGGTTCACCATCATTTTCGTTTTGGACATATTCATTTCCAAGCCAATCTTCTGACCAATCATGTCGAGCTCGTTTACCATCTCTTCCATTTCGACTGTGTTATCGGATATCAGAACGATATCATCTGCAAAACGGAGGTTGCTTATCCTTTTCCCGTCAATCAAGTATCCTTTGTCATCCCAGTTGAGGTTTGACATCGCATACTGTAGTGCTGCCGTGAATAACTTCGGGGATATCGTGTCCCCCTGCCGTACCCCTTTCTCAATGGGTACTTTTACCTTGCGCTCGAACAGTTGCAGGGTTGTTGATGTGTTCGATAAACTCTGTTCGAGCAGGCGAATGTAGGCAGAGGGTACTCCGGCTCGCACAAGGGCGTTGAGAACAGCATTAACCTCCACTGAGTCGAAGGCCTTTTTGTAGTCCACAAAGACGAGGACAAGTGGAAGATGGTACTCGCGGCTCCTCTCTATGAGCTGTGTTACTGCCTGTATGTTGTCCATACAGGAGAAATTCTTGCGGAAGCCGGCCTGCTCTGGTGGTTGATAGTCGTCTAAGATGCGTTCCATACGGTTGAGCAGTATTTTCGTGAACGACTTATATATCGTCGAGAGCAGACTGATAGGTCGGTAGTTGGCAATCTCCTCTCTCTGACCTTTTTTGAACAGAAGAACTGTTCTCGATTCTCTCCACTGTTCTGGAATCATTCCTAATTGCAGGTAATGACTGAAGTGCTCTGCGAGGAGTGTGTGAAGGGACTTTCCTCCTGCACGAAGAAGATCGGCAGATATGCCATCGGGTCCAGGAGCAGTTCCTTTCTTCATCTTTTTGATCGCATTTGCAACTTCCGCTTCCAGAATAGGAGGGGGATCTTCAGCAGGCGGTGCAGAGCATCTAGGGACGTTTGTGGAAGAGCGGAAGAGATTCGTGTAGAAACCACTAACGATTTCCTCGATAGATCTCCTAGATGTTTGTATTCTTCCATCTTGTCCATAAGAGCTGAAATGACATTTCTTTGATCGTTCAGATCTCGTTTGCAGCGTTTGATGCTCGATCTTGTTTCTGCCGCCTTCAGCAGTCTAGTTCTTCTGTAAGCTCGGAGTGATTCTCTCTGACGGCAAACCGGCATGCCTTGTTGATGGTGACTTTTTCCAAGTGCGTGGCATTAGGGTCCATTTTCATTGCCCTCCTTTTTTCCAACAAAGTGGTTGCGACATCATTGAGCCTTGGGCTGGAATCTGATTGCGCAAGTCGCGAAAGCTCTGCGCACTTAGACAGACCTTCGACCAGATATTTGTAATCTTCTGATGGGTCGTCCAGCAAATGCCAGTTATGAGCCTCAATGCAAGCTCCCAAATTGCTCAGTGTTGTAGGAGGGATTCCTCGAAGGTAAGGGCCTATGCCTGTCGCGCTTGAATAATTTCTTCTTGAGACATACTTTGGCACGTATCAAACGGTGGTCTGAGCCAGTATCGAATGACGGCAGCACTGATACGTCGAATAGGCTCCAGCGACGATTGGTTAGGATGTGATCGATTTCCTTGCGCGTTTCTCCATTTGGACTTTCCCAGGTCCATCGCCGTCCAGTCGGCTTCTCGAAACATAGAGTTTCCGTGATAAAGGCGACATGCAGACAGCAAGTCAAGCAGCCTTTCTCCGTTCTCGTTTCGACTGTTCGTTCCATGGGGCCCGAGTCGCCAATCGCCGTTGTGGTTCGTGCCTATAAGGGCATTGAAGTCACCAACCACATACTTGTAGTAAGTTCTCTCATTCTGAATCGTATCTTCCAGAAGCTGGTAAAATTCTTCGCGTTCTTCGTCAGTGGCGGTGGAGGTGGGTGCATATCCATTGATAATGGATATGGCTCCTTGATCTTTGGTCAGCAAGCGTAGAACAGCGATGCGTGGACTGATGATTTTGTGAGAGTCTACTAGATGGACCACTGCCTGGTTTATGAGAAATCCAACTCCGCCGACATTCTTGCCATCCACCTTGGCTCCAACAATAAGCAGCTCGTTGTGATCGGTTTTCCTAATGGTTTCCGTTCTGCCCTTCGTTTCTTGTATAGCGATAACATCGTACTTGATCTGACGACTCCTCAGCAGAAGTGTTCGGAGGTCAGCATCCGATGCAATAGTCCGACAATTATACGAGCAGACGAAGAGGCAGTCCTTGTGTCGTTGGGTGGGGGAGTTTCCGGGTTTCCGATTAATCTGATGACGTCCTGATTCCCTGACGAGATTAGATGGCCCCTCATCGGTAGAGGCAACTCCTGACGTCGTAGAAGAGCATATCCGATGTACGCAGGACTGGGGCGCTATTGAAGCTGTTTGAGCAGAAGAAGTGGCTTAGGTTACTCCCTTGTTCCTTGCTAGGGATACAAGAAAGCCGCCCATACACACATTACTGTGCGTACTGCGTAGCCGTTTGTACCGTTG